GGCGAGGGGGGGGGAAGACATCCCCTGCCTCTCTGTAGAATGGCCTCGTGGAGGGAGGGCATCCTGCTGTGTCCCACCCTGGGGTTAGGAGCACACGTGTGACTAACAGGCCAAGGCCCCTGTGTGGCAGCCAGCTGGGGCCACATGCCCAGGGGTGGCACAGCACATGCTCGCACATGCATAGGTTTCTGCGTGATCTGTGGTAAGCAAGGCGAAGACATCCCCTGCCTCTCTGTAGAATGGCCTCGTGGAGGGAGGGCATCCTGCTGTGTCCCACCCTGGGGTTAGGAGCACACGTGTGACTAACAGGCCAAGGCCCCTGTGTGGCAGCCAGCTGGGGCCACATGCCCAGGGGTGGCACAGCACATGCTCGCACATGCATAGGTTTCTGCGTGATCTGTGGTAAGCAAGGCCCATGCATTCAGTCCCTGGTCTCCCTCTCTGCCCCCCCAATAATGGGACAGTGATGGCACTCACATGTTGTTGCCTCCCCGGATGACACTGGTGACGGGTCTGCTGGGACGGCTCGGGGGTCCCGGCTGCGTGGCATGCTCCGTCTGGGCTCCTGTGGCTCCTCCTCCCTGTCCTGGTCAGGGCCCTCTGCTCCAGGATCGATGACCCCCTGGGTGGGGGGACACGGACCATCCTGCCCCCCAGGATGGGGGTCCAGGGCGTCAAAATAGGTGCAGGTGTCTGCCCCTGTTTGGGAGCTGCCCTGCGTGGCCCTGACATAGGCCTGACGCAGCTCCTTAAGTTTCATGCACACCTGCTCCTGGGTACGCATGTGGCCTTTGGTAGCCAGGCAGTCAGCCATCCATCTGTAGATGGCCACATTCCTCCATCTAGTGCGGAGATCATCAACATTGGAGACATCCCCCCAAACCTCAAGCAGGTCCACGATCTCTGCACTGGAACAGGAAGGTGCCCGCCTTCTCTGACCCCGGCAGGCTCCTGGGAGCTGAGAGACTAGGCCCGGGGAGCAGTGGAGGGCTGGCTGGCACTGGCTGCCTGGCTCATGGTGGGGCCACTGGGTCAGGGGCAGCGACTGCTGGCAGGCCTGGAGCTGGCACAGGCACTGTGGCCGGCACAGGTACTGTGGCCAGAGTCTACCCCTTTAAAGGCTCTGGGGCTGGGGGAGAGGAGAGGAGTTTTCCTGGTTTGGCCCACAGTGGCCACCAGGGCACACTGGGAAGGGCTGAAGGCCCCCTATTTCGAAATAAGCATCTACACAGCACTTATTTCAAATTAGCTATTTCGAATTTGGCGTTATTCCTCATAGAATGAGGTTTACCAAATTCAAAATAAGCGCTCCGCTATTTCAAATTTATTTCAAAATAGCAGTTTGGCTGTGTAGACGCTAGGAAAGGTATTACGAAATAACTTTGCCGCGTAGACACACCCTCATTCTCCCATCTGCAGTGAGTCAGGGACACCCCAAATAAATCCCCCCCCACTCCACCTGACTACACAGATGCCAGCACCCACCTACCCCCAGGTCAGCTGGGGAGTCCATAGCTGATCCTGGGCTTCAAGTGGCGCTGCCACTTTGAAGTTCCCCCTCTACTTTCTCCTCCTTGCTGCCTCCATTGGATAGAAGAAGCAAGAAGGGAGTCCTTCACATCCTACTCTGGGGTGGAAGGCAGAAAGCTGGTGCCCAGAGCAGTGCAAAAAAGCAAGAGTAGGAGAAGAGATTACATGGTACAGTCCAGACTAATGAGCAGCTATGTAATTTGCCTTCTGAAACCTTGGATGCCTTACAATGCCTTGCTGAAGTAGCTCTCATCTGGCCCATGCCTAAACAGACTTACAGCATGCAAACCACCCTGAGGGTATGTCTACACTACCCTCCTAGTTCGAACTAGGAGGGTAATATAGGCATACCACACTTGCAAATGAAGCCCGGGATTTGAATTTCCCGAGCTTCATTTGCATAAGCGGGGAGCCGCCATTTTTAAAACCCCGCTGGTTCGAACCCCGTGCAGCGCGGCTACACGGGGCTCAAACTAGGTAGTTCGGACTAGGCTTCCTATTCAGACTAGGCTTCCTATTTCAAATTAGCTATTTCGAATTTGGCGTTATTCCTCATAGAATGAGGTTTACCAAATTCAAAATAAGCGCTCCGCTATTTCAAATTTATTTCAAACTAAATAAAGCCTAGTTCGAACTACCTAGTTCGTGCCCCGTGTAGCCGCGCTGCATGGGGTTCGAACCAGCGGGGTTTTAAAAATGGTGGCTCCCCGCTTATGCAAATGAAGCCCGGGAAATTCAACTCCCGGGCTTCACTTGCAAGTGCGGTATGCCTACATTACCCCGCTAGTTCGAACTAGCGGGGTAGTGTAGACATACCCTGAGTGTCTATGTATCACTGTAGTCTGCAAGTCACAACTGGGTTATGCTCTGTCTTGCACCATCCTTGATTATGTTACACGGTAACCTAACACACACCCCAGTCATAGATTTTCCACGCAGAAAAGTGTGTCTTGTACTGTACAACACTCTCCTGGACAGTAAAATTGTATCAAGTTTTATTTATATAAGAAAATGATTTTATCTCAACCCCCAGCTAGGAGCAGTTTGCACAGGGGTAGATGGCGGACAGAGGCAGCAAAGGGGAAGAATTGATTAGTTGACTTGACTATCCGATAAGCATTTGCTTATCAGACAGTCGACTAGTCCTTAACATCCTTACTCCTTAACACCTTAGAGCATGTTTTCTTGAGCACACACTAACATCTCCTTTATGCACTACAATGTACTTCTTGACAAGGCAGTTTAGGCTAAACCAATTGTTCCTTTTTACAGAAGAACTCTCTGTTATTCTTTGTGTGAGATCTATAGTTCTAGAGGTGACTATGTAATACTAATGCTCTCTCAAGTGGAGAGAGGGAATTGCTTTAATTTTGCACCATCAATTTAGTCACATTTGAGTTATCTGCATTATATCTACATGTGATTAGTTGGATTTTCATCTTGTCCTTCAATATTCCCTTTTTCTGTTACATTCCCTACTGTAATCCTCCTTTGCATCCTTTAAGTGTACTTGTATTATTTGGATACCCATAAAAAGGTATCCAATTTAGACACTTTTTGTACTTGGCATTACACATATTTTGGAGGTTTATTAACCATTATATAAAAAGATGTGACATGCCATTATTTAAGTCCCCACACGTTTTGTTCCTGATTGGTTACTAAGTATCACCTTACAATAAAAATATTTAGCTCTTATGTTGCACTTTTCACCCATGAATCTCAAAATACTTCACAAAGGAAGGTTGTATTAATATCCCCTTTTATAAATTGAGAAAATGAAGCAGAGATAAATGATTTGCTCAAGGTCACACAGCAGGTCAGGTACAAGGAAAACAACCCAGGTCCTCTGAATCTCAGGTCAGTGCTCTGTCCATTAGACCACATTGATTAATTCACATGGTTTCACTTGCTGATTGCATTTATTCAAGTCAATTGTGGTAAACGGTGGCTCTGATATAGGTCTGCACAGACAGCATATACAAGACCAAATTACAGAGAGAATAGAAATCATAATTTGACAACAGATGAACGATCAAACTGCCTAACTTTGAACATTTTGGCTTCCTTCTGGTCTTATTTCCACCTATAGCTACAAAATAGGAGGATGGTTTTTCCTTTCCTACAGTGCTATGATAAGCTAGCATGTGTAAATTTTTAATCTAAATTGTTATATAAATTGTTTTTGGCCTTATAACGAATCTATCACTTAGGCAGTCATACCTGACTTGCTGTAGGTCGTTTCTTTGGATCCCAGTTGAGCATATCAGTCATAAGCTGTATTGCCTCATTGCTGGCATTTGGAATGAGAGTTTTGAGGTGTATAGGGATACACTGAGGGAAGCGGAAATTCATGGCAGATGCAAGCTGGTACCCTTCTGGCCAATCACTCTGTTAATGAAAATCAAGATGACAGAGACTACATCATTTGGAAACAAATTAAAACAGAATTCTACAACATGTGTGCTGAAGAGAGAGGTCGAAAGCCTAAGTGGTGAAAGCTGGAGTCGTTAATCCTGTGGAGAGCATGCATAGGGCCTGCAAAGGTACATAGGTTCCCAAATTGGGGGGAGCGAAGAAATTCCAGGTGGGAGGCAAGGTGACCCAACCCCCCTCCCAACTCCCCCCATCACTCCCCCTCCCCCCAAGAAAGT